GAGAGAGAGAGAGAGAGAGAGAGAGAGAGAGAGAGAGAGAGAGAGAGAGTGTGTGTGTGTATACATGCATCGATGCTAAGGAGTTAAGACGTTCTACTCCCCCTCTCCACCTGAAAGAAACTCTGTTCCAACTGCCAGTTGCCTTAGATGGGTGTGGCCAGCGCGTGACTGTGGGCTGGCCCGACCACATGGTTTCATAGCGAAGCACGAGTATCTATCTAGTGTATGTATGTATGTGTATATGTTTCTTTGTAGAATAAGCATTGAAAAAAGTGACTTATGACGGTCCTTGCACTGACTATTGCAGCATCCCCATAGTCACGTGATCAAAACTGCACAGAAGTCTGTACAAATCTGTACTCTAGAGAAACATATTCAGGTAGCCCTCAGTTTGCAACCATTCATTTAATGATCACTTAAAATTAGAACATAACTGGAAAAAAAGTGACTTATTACTGGTTCTCACGTTTACGACTGTTTTCAGCATCCTTGTGGCCATACTTTGTCTCCCTGGTCATGGAAAACCTGGGTCTCTTTCCAGGCAATTCCACCAGAATTAATGCTGCAGGACTGCCGATGCGAATGACTGCAGCCAGTTGCATTTCTTTGAACACCAGCATAATGTTGATCCTTCAAATAATCATACAGGTAGTCCTCGACTTACAACCATCCATTTAGTGACCATTCAAAGTTATAGTGGCACTGAAAAAAATGCTTATGGTCTGTTTTTCACACTTACAAACCATTGCCCATGGTTACATGATAAAAATTCAGATGTTGTATTTCTGAGCATCCCGAAGTCATGTGATGGCCATTGATGACCTTCCCAGTCAGCTTCTGACGAGCGAAGTCAATGGACTGGATTCACTTAATGACCACACAACTCATTAGTAGTTCACTTTACAATTGTCCCCCCCCCAAAAAAAAGGTTGTAAAATTAGATGTGCCAGACTTAATAACCACCTTGATTAGCAACAGAAATTCTGGCCTCAATTGTGGCCATAAGTCGAGGACTACTTGCAGTTTGCCATGCTTTTGCTGTTGGAACACCAACCATGCAGCCAGAAAAACAGGCCTGTTTCCGAACTTCTGGAACATCCGGCAGGCCCCTTTTTCGCCCTTCCAGAGCCTCCACGCAGGCCCTGCACTTACCTAGCATCCAAAACAGGCCATGTGGAAACTCCTGAGAGGGGATGGGAGGGGTGGGCGGGGCCAGTCAGTTCCTTGCAACTACCGGTTCGGCGAACCAAATGTAAAATTAGCATCCCGTCCGAACCGGTTGAATCCCACCTCTGCCGCACTCCCTACCCTCCGAATACCTCCCCCAGAACGACCAGTTTCTACACACTTTTCTTTCATACTTTCACGCTTTTCTGTCAATTTTATAGACAGAAACAAACAAACAAACAAAAAAAGATGGAAGGAAGAATGGAAAAATGTGGGATGATCATCAGAACGTTCCCACAGCATAATCCATTAGGGGGAAGAATGCCGCAGAAAAGGAACCTCACTTTAAAGCACCCATAATTATTTGCTGTCTGACTACAGTCACAGGTTCCAAGGACATTGTGTGCAGATGATAGCTCTGCTTTTAATACCATTATAGAGTCATTATCTAAGACAGAGGAAAGGATCTAATCTCTTAGCCCCGAAGCCATCTGCTTATGGACAACTCCACCAACAGGAATGTCAGCAGCCAGAGGTGCTTTTTCCAAAAGGCAACTGGACTTTCTTGTTTTGTTTTTTTTAAACGTTTCACTTCAAACAGTTCAAACTGAAGAAGCTTCTTGGATGAGAAGCAAAACATTATAAAAAAGTTTTCAAAATGAAACGTTTTAAAAAACAAGGAAGTCCACTTGCCTTTTGGGACAATCATGAGCTGGATGATTGAAACTCTCCATAGACATCAGCAACCGTATTTAATCCAGATATGAGCAAAAGTCTTTGCTGAACCTGGATTTAAGAAATCTAGATTTTCACACAGTATTTAATCCAACAGGAAGTTTGCTGAGTGACTTTGTCATGTGTATCTAATCTCACTTAATAAGCAGAAAATGTTTTTACAGTGCAGGAAGCAGAGGGCTCTGTATGAACTTCTAAGAAGACAATATAAAAAAAAACATCAAATGAAATATTTATTCTCTTTTGTTGTTACTCTCATACCATAAATAGTTTAGAAGCAGCGAACTACATACAATTGGCTAATTCTATTTTAGCTGGTTGATTATTCATTCTCTTTTCTGTCTCTGTCACTTCAGTCCTCTGGTTGGCCCTGGCTGAGTCCCCAAATTCTAATCCAGCAGAGTTGGGAGACAATCACACGTTCAAATATTTGAATGGACAGATTAGCATGGCTGAAGAAACACTTTCAGATTTGAGCCCCATGGCTTATCCATGGAGTTCATGGAACAGGCTTTGGCAAACTGCACTGTTTCAGCTGAGCTGATCCTTACTTGGGTGTTATGGAGGTAACACAACCTCATTCACAAAATGACAGAGTTGAAAGAGGCTCTTTAGGTCACAGAGGAAAGTTGGAGCATAAGGAAGGCGGAGAGCCAAAGAATGGAGGCCTTTGAACTCTGGTGCTGAAGAAGAATCCCGCGAGTCCCTTGGACTGCAAGGCAATCCAACCGGTCAATCCTAGAGGAGATCAACCCTGACTGCTCTTAGAAGGCCAGATCCTGAAGAGGAAACTCAAAGACTTTGGCCACCTGATGAGAAGGAAGGACTCCCTGGAGAAGAGCCTCATGCTGGGAACGATGGCGGGCAAAAGAAGAAGGGGACAACAGAGNGGGCTTTAAAGTACTGTGAAGCGGTATATAAGTCTGAGTGCTATTGCTATTATCTGTTCCTGTTATGGCTCCCTAGTAACGTGGCGTTCTGATTGTAGAGGAAGCATTTTAACTTGGATGACCAATAGCCAAAGATAGTTTTGTCCACCACAAATTTGCCCAATCCCGCCTTAAAGCCATCTGATAGCTATAGCAATTCACATCTGGCATGGACATTCAAAAGCATACCTCTGCCACACCTAAATCTGATATCTTTAAAGTCCCATTGGTTGTTAGCAGAAGATTTCCCGGTTTGATATCTTTGTGTACGATGCCCTGGCTGTGCAGATATTCCAAGCCATCTATAAGCTGGCAAAAGTACCTGTGGGGAGGCAGGGGGAAAAGGAGGTGGGGAAAAAATGAGTTTCTGGAGAGCAAGCAGAGTGCAATATCTACGTTGTTAAGCAGTTTGGGTTTATTAGCTGTGATTCAGAGTCTGATTCTGACCAGGAATCTTACAATGTTTGTGCCATATCAGGAACCTTGAAAGAGAACAGTTACTAAGAATTTATAGAATGATGCTTGCATTATGTCATGAGCTGTCAGTTTGGTATAGTGGTTAAAGTGTCAGGCTAGGAGGTGGGAGACCATGAGTTCAATCCTGCCTTAGCAGTGAGCTAGGTAACTTCGGCCCAATCACCAGGAGACAATGAGTTCTAGTTCCACTTTAGGCATGAAAGCCGGCTAGGTGACTTTAAGCCAATCACCAGAAAATGGTGAATTCTAGTCCCACCTTAGGCATGAAAGCCAACTGGGTGACTTTGGGGCAATCACCAGGAGACAATGAGTTCTAGTCCCGTTTTAGGCATGAAAGCTGGCTAGGTGACTTTGGGCCAATCACCAGGAGACGGTAAATTCTAGTCTGATTCTGACCAGGAATCTTACAATGTTTGTGCCATATCAGGAACCTTGAAACAGAAGAGTTACTAAGAATTTATAGAATGATGCTTGCATTATGTCATGAGCTGTCAGTTTAGTATAGTGGTTAAGGCCTCAGGTTAGAAGGAGACCAAGGTCTAGGCATGAAATCCAGCTAGGTGACTTCTGGCCGATCACCAGGAGATGATAAATTCTAGTCCTGCCTTAGGCATGAAAGTCAACGGGGTGACTTTGGACCAGTCGCTCACTCTCTTTCTGCCCAAACTACCTCACAGGGTTGTTGTTGTGGGATAAATGGGATGAGGATGTTATGTTAAGATACGTTCACCTTCATTCATTCATTCATACACATACCGTGTTTCCCTGAAAATAAGACAGGGTCTTATGTTCTTTTGACCCCCCCCGAAATAAGTACTTGGCCTTACTTTTGGGGAGGTCTTATTATTTTTGAGGTGCATGAGGTGGCGAGCGTGGTCACCTCATGTGTTGCAATATTTCCAGGGAGGGCTTATTTTCAGGGGAGGGCTTATTTTAGTGCATGTGCTCAAAAGCCCAATTGGGCTTATTTTCCGAGGAAATCTTATTTACAGGGAAACAGGGTAGATACATACATACATACATACATACATACATACATACATACATACATACATAATTAACAGCAGGATACAAATAAATCAATAAAATAATCTCAAAGCATCTGATCAACCACCTCACTGGAGTCAAGATGGCCTGGAAACTAAACTGGCTTAGATCCAGCCACTGCTTGAACCCAAGACTGCGTGGGAAGCATGTGGATTTTCCCTTCACTTCAACAAGAGGAGGAAAAAAACCCTGAACTGCAAGTAATAGTTAAGTTCCCCTTCTCGTGATGATCAGAGATGATCATGAACCACCAGTCCAGTTTCCCTATTTCCACAGTGAGGCTTCCTCAGCGAATGGGAGTGATGGGAACTGGGAAGCACGCATGCTACTTACCCGTGCGCTTGAAAGACTGGAAACTTTTTGTCAGGAACGCTGTCCAACATCTCTTGCATGCCACAGACACAATACTCCATCACCATATACGTGAGAAACAGTTAAGGAAGTTCCTGGGATGGGACTTAAAAGAGAGAAACCTGCCTTCCACTGGTTGACAGTATTTCAGCATCTAAGGCCACTCAAGTCTACGCTAAACCGTTCTCAGCTCAAGAGGCAGGAGAACCATCTGTCCCAACACCTCCTCCACGGATCCATTTTTAACTGGAGCCGTTGTGATTGACACAAGGGACTTTCTGAATGCAAAGGAAGAACTCGACGTTGTAAATGGATTATGGACGCTCTCCAAATAGCCCAGGCCAACGGAAAGAAACTATGTTTATGTTTATTTAATTTGTATGCCGCCCCACTCCCGAGGGACTTGGGGCGGCTAACAACCAAAAGGGCGGAGGGGATACAAATAAGACAAAAGACAGACAAAGTAAAAACAACAGCAGTCACAACTACAGTAATCTTGAACATATGTAAAGATTGTTTGTGTGTGTGTGTGGGGGGGGGTGTTAGAGAAGAAGCATGTATGGGAATTCTAATCCAAATATATGGAAGGTGGCTGATTAGAGGAAACCAAAATAAACAGTGCTAATTCTTCTAACATNTTTTCTTTCTATCATCTATCTATCTATCTATCTATCTATCTATCTATCTATCTATCTATCTATCTATCTATCTATCTATCTATCTATCTATCATCTAGATTAGTAGAACACAATAAAATATAAATGTTAAAAAAGATCTGTGATTAAATACTAATGTCTAGGCCTGTGAAGGTGAACCTATGGCACGTGTGCCAGAGCTGGCATGCAGAGGCCTCTCTCTGGGCACACACGCCGTCACTAACTGCTCTTCTGGTTTCCGGTGCACATGGTTTCCAGCTGGTCCTCGTGGCGCCAGAGCACCAGAAAATGGCTTGAAAACGACCTGAAAAATGGCCAAAAAGGCCAAAAAACCCCAGGCCATTTTCAGACTGTTTTTGGCCTGAAAAAATATAACTGGATCGGTGTATGCCCTCAGCCTTTAGCTGGCGACGATGTGATCTACAGTTTGATGTGGGACCCCGCAATCACACTGAGGGGAGGATACTATGTCCCATTTATAAACAAAGTCCTGGTAGACACCATATGAGGTGCAAGTCCAATTCAGGATTGTTCATTGCTGAGGTGAGAGGATTCTGGCTTTTCTCTGTGACAAGACACTCCAACAGAGAAGGGCTACTGTCCTGTCACCCCTAGTCCTTCCCTTCATTAGACATAGCTAGCTCCCTCAGTTGATCATCGCAAGGTTTAACTCCAGACCTCTGGTCATCTTTGTTGCTCTTCTCTGCAATCTTCCGATGGTCTCAGCACCCTTTTTGTATTGTGTGGCCAAACTGGATGCGGTCTTTCCAAGGGTGGCCTTACCAGTGCAGTATAAAGCGGAACGCACACTTCACATGATCTTGATGTTATCCCTCTGTGAAGGCCACCTAGCACTACCTCTGGGAGTTGTGGGTGCCCCATCACTGGAGGTTTTCAAGAAGAGATTGAATGGTCATTTGTCCGGAATGGTATAAGGCAAGGGTGCCAAACTCAAGTCCCACCGATTGGATCCAGCCTGTGATGGGGTCAGAAACAGCCCATGGGGCCGTCCTGGTCTACCCAGTGCAAAGAGGAAACATGCCAGCAGTTTGGGGAATGGTATCAATCTGGTCACGCCCACCCAGTTGGCCACACCCACCCAGTTGGCCATGCTATGCCCCCCCTCCCCGAGATCAACCACAGCTCTGATGCGGCCCTCAATTAAATTGATTTCGACACCCCCTAGTATAAGGTCCCCTGCTTGTTCCTTTCCAACACGGTTATTCTAAGTCCGTGATGGTGAATCTATGGCACGGGTGCAAGAGGTGGCACGCAGAGCCCTCTCTGCTGGCACATGTGCCGTTTCCCCAGATCGGATCTCCGTGGCATTTCTTTTGTGAGCTTCTGTTTCTCTGCAAATAAATAAAATAGAAGCTCACGAAAGAAAAAAGACCTTAGCTCTTGCCGCACTGACAGTGTTGGGACACCCCGCCTCCTGCCGGCCAGCTGGTTTTCGAGTCTCTGCTGTGCCCGCACGCATGTCCGCACAGGCGTATGTCAGTGCATGCGCACGTCTGTGCATGCGCACACACCTTTCAGTTTGGCTATGTATGCTCATGCAGTTTGAACTTGGTTCACCATCACTGTTCTAAGTTCTATGTTGGTGGTTCTCAACCCCAGGACAGGGGCGCTGTGAAGGCTTGAAGAAATCTTATGATTTAAATCTTGAGTTAAGTCTTGGTGGTTGTTGGCCATGGTCTGTGGCCAAAAAAAGTATTTAAATGGGGTCTGTGGTGAAGATAAGGTTAAGAATCACTGTTCTATTTAATGCAGAAGATTCTTCAGGAATTTGAAGATGCCAAACGATAAAGCATGCCATCAGCGATAACAGAGAGGGGGCACCAGTATATCTCTGACTTTTTTCTAAAATAGGAAGTAATCTATCTATCTATCTATCTATCTATCTATCTATCTATCTATCTATCTATCTATCTATCTATCTATCTATCTATCTATCTATCTTACTGCATTTTTCAGAGTATAAGACGCACCAAGATTTTGAAGAGACAAATTAAAAAAAAAGGTTTTGCACTCTGCAGACCTCCCAAAAACAGCCCGTTTTTCATCCAAAAAAAAAGGGCATGCAGTCTTTAGGAGGCTTGTAGAGTGTTCCGGGGGGAGGGGGGGGGAGAAAGCAGCCACTTTTTTGCAAAAATGGGCCTGTTTTTTGTCAAAAAAAAGGGGCATGCATAGCCTTTAAGAGGNCTTATATGCCGGTGCATTTTATACTCTGAAAAATACAGTAGAATATTAGGTTTCCAGTACATACATTTCACAGTACATACCTGTGAGAAATCAAACAGAAGGATGAGCCCTTTCACTACATTAATGGGGTCTCCAGTGGCTGAGAACATTTTAGACATTAAATCACTATATCCTTGGAAAAAAGTAACTGGCCGGAGTTGAACATCAAACATGATTGCTGACAAACCAGCAAAGGAGTCAAGATTTTCTTCTCCTTCATCTGCAGATGCAGCTATAATAGATTCCAGACCTTGAGCTTCAATTATCACCTAAAAGAAAGCAACATATAGCACACGGGAAAATGAACATGTGCATGCAAGGACATTTTGTTCTAAATTCAACAAGATTGTTATATTATTCAACTCTCATCCATCCCTCTTACAACTGAGAAGCAGCACAAGGCTCTTCTAAGATAACTGCTACATTGAAAAGGAAAGGAGATATGGCAACTACCATCAAAGGGCAGGACTGAAGGGAGGATAGGTGGAAGCTACAGAAGGGCAGATTTTGATCAATGTAGATAAATTTTATGGAAGCTCTTGTTTGACAAGGAAGTGCACTTTCTTAGATGTCCTATAAATCCATTGGAGGGACTTATGCAAATACTTTTAATCATACATAAAGTACTATAGAGTTTATAATGAAAAGGGTTGGAAGTAAATGATCTCCAGATCAGAGGTGGTATTCAGCAGGTTCTGACCAGTTCTGGAGAAACGGTACCAGAAATTTTGAGTAGTTTGGAGAACTGGTAAATATCACCTCTGACTGGCTCCATCCCCATCTATTCTCTGCCTTTCGAGTCCCAGCTGATCGGGAGGAAATGGGGATTTTGCAGTATCCTTCCCCTGCCATGCCCACCAAGCTACACCCACCAAGCTACAGCCACCAAGCCATGCCCACAGAACCAGTAGTAAAAAAAATTGAATCCCACCACTGGGTTACACAATATCTCGCTTTATGATCACATTGTTTAGTGATGGAAATTCTGGTCCCAGTTGTGGTTGTAAATCAAGAGCTACTATACTTCTATTACAGGGAAAATTCAATCATGGTACATTGTTTAAAGTGCACAAACAACTACTTGCTGCAGACTTCCATTCCATGAATAATAGCAAGCAATGATAAATCTTTTACCTGGATTATAAATAATCACAATTACATTAATATGGTGGTACTTCACTGTCTCATTTGTCTCATTCTCAATCTGATATATAGTTCAGAAATTATTAGTGATAAATAACTTTATTTGGATTATTATCTCTGTTTAAGAAATCCTAAATATTACACATTACAGTCAATACATTTATAAGCCTAAGAGCCTGCCTGGAAGAAAAAGTATCCTGTAGCTATCTGGGTGACATCTTGATCAACATATGTCATTTTATTCTTATTAAGTATCAACC